ACTTTTCTTCATCTTAAAATTTTCATATTTTCATTTGCATAATCTATTGAACCTCCTAAAAGGATATCAAAAGTTTTTTAAGGTAAATTTTTATAATTTATTTACTCTACCATATCACTAACTCTAGCTATTATCATCAATGTACAATGCAATGAAATAATTAAAATTATGAATTAGAAAAAGAAAAAAAAAATAATTTTTTTGTAGAATATCCTTTTGTTAAATTCTTATTTTTATCTCTTTTTCCTTTTCACATATAGATGATTCTTAATATTCTTTTACAACTTATTATTCATCTCAACATAAGTCAATGGTGACCCCAAGGCATATTACAGTTTCTTTGGGAGACATGTGCAACACTTCGGTAAAATTTTTGTTCAGTGTGTAATATCATAAGCTTTGAGAATGGATGCGAAGTATGATGTATATGCAAAAAATGTTTAAACCTATTAATTATGTATTTTAAAATTTTTGTTCAGTGTGTAATATCATAAGCTTTGAGAATGGATGCGAAGTATGATGTATATGCAAAAAATGTTTAAACCTATTAATTATGTATTTTAAAACATTTTAAAACCTATTAATTATGTATTTTTTATTTTATTAATTATGTATTTTAAAACGTAACTAATATATAATTATCTAAAATATAATAGTAAGACCTAAATACAATTTAAACTGTATCTCTAACTATAAGGTAAGAAACAACCATAAATGCTATATTCGATCAAGCAGCCAACAATACTATAGTCAATTTCATGTACTCTGTGAGAATGACTTGGTGCTAATTTCAAAATAACCATTGCATGTCTATACTGTAAAATGAGCTCATTCAAATTTTTATTTATACTATGTATGTAACGTCTACATGGAATGAAGAAAGCTCAAACAAATCTGTTGAAGGTGGAAGTGGCAGCTGTCAGGGGGTTGAAAAATCATTACTTGTTTTAACTGTATTCATTCAGAGTACTTTGAAAGGAACAAGTCAAAAGGTTACCTCTACTCTATTACCAAACAGCCAAAGTAGAGATTTTTCATATCTCTTTGGTCATGTGGCAATACATCTGAAGTTTTAAGTAATTTTTTAAAGGTTTATTTTGTAATAAATAACTTAAATTTGGATAAAATAAAACTTCAAATCATAACACATATAACAATATTAAATTCATTCACATACATTGATAATAAAAGTGTTTAATTAGATTCTGAATATAACACAGTGACTTACACAGAAAAGTGTTTAAAGGAGCTCTTGTTGCAAAATGGTTAGAGTAAATTGCATTTATTTCATTAAATGAGTATTTTAAGTTAAAACTAAAGTCCAACATAGCAGTATGAAATGCAGTGGCTCCATGTCAACGTGTTTGGCTTGGTTATATAGAACAGATTTATTTCTGAAAAAAAAAAGCCATGAAATAGTTTTAACATTTCAATTGTAACTTTTATAAAGTTAAAATGATTCATTTTACAAGCTAAATAATTATCCAATTAAAGAACTGTCAAGTTTTATTCTATGTATTCTTAACCAATTTATGGTAAAAAAAATACCTTAAAATTATAAATCTTCTTCAGTAATACTGAGTTAAACTGTGGCAAAATCAACAACAATTGACTTATGGTGAATGTGTCAGTTTATAAGAAAAGATTTTCAAAGTAAACAATACAGTTTACAGTGAACAACTTGAATATACTAGTATTGTGATAACCAGCATTCTGATACTTTACTGAAACAGTTATGAAGACCATTATCACAACATTCCAACCAGTATTATCCCTAAGAGAAGAAGGTCAGTATTTTTTTTAACTACAAAATATTTTCTCTTTAAAGTAAAGTAACAAGTTAAATTATCTAACCTTCCAAAGTCAAGCATCGGGCTGATATACCTGGAGGAAATTCATGCCACCATTTGAAAAAAATTCCATAATTAGGTGCTGTAGATGCTGGGCAACGTTGACAAGCTACAGAAAAACATAATATTAATATCAATTTCTAAAAAATATAATGCATGGAAAACGTATTTGAAAAGTTATCCACCATATTAATTGAAAAAATGTATATAAAAACACAGACAGCAATTCATTAAAAACAGTTCAAACTACACTGTCAGTGAATTAAACAAATATTATTCAGTTACAGATTTGAAAAATAAAAAATGTAAAATTATGGAGATTTAACTTCAAAATATAAATAACAGAAAGACCTAATCCTGTGTGAGAACATTAATGGACTGCAACTGCCTGTGACTACTCTGTCTAAAGTTCCACTGAAACAATTTACTTCTGTTTCTTTTAATTTTTATTAGTTACAAAATCTAAGAGACCACCAATACCACTATTGAGGAATGTCAAATAAACAAATCATGTATAGAAAACATCTCACACTAGTGGAATAGTGACTGATAAAGCCTGAAAAGCATGTCATTAAGCCTAGGCTAAATTAATGTAGCTAAGGCATGACTCAGCATGGGAAGAGAAGAAAAGACTGCATGTAACAGAGCCTGTGCTCTTTAAAGGTGATTAGTGTCCAAAGCATACAACACAAAATAGAATAAGCTATACAGCAAAGCACTTTATTTTGGCAAATCTGCAAGATTAAGTTGTGCATAAAAACTAAAAACATGGTTATATACATTATTTATGATAATGATAGTACCTCACTCCTTACAGATGAAGAACAAGGTAAAGCCTTCATGTGCAGGTACACTAATCAATATGAACATGGCAACATGCAGGAAAGGATCAAATCAGTGGCATAACTAGGTTTTCCATGCAGAAATCTTTATGGGGGGGCAAAATAAATTAAAAAGCTGAAATTGATCTACATTTTTAATAAAATGGTCATTAAGACAAATCAAACCAAATGTAATAGTATTTATAGAAGTTTTTATTTTTATTAAACGACACAAAGCGAGTTTATTATAAATAAAAACTGAAAAATAATATGTGGTCAAGATGCCTAGATTTTTTCAGATGGGGCCAGGCTATGCCTCTGGATCAAATTACAATGATTCCTTGCTAAGCTTCAACTACATACAGATATGGTAACCATAATTAGCTTGGATGAAATACACAGAGCCATATGTACCTCTAAAGATAAAGTTCCAGGTCTGGATGTTGTAAGAACTGTCACTTGTTCTGGAAAAGACACTGGAGTACCTGAGAGTAAACTTTGAGAGACAACTCAACTTCATTAATAACATTAACAATATGATAACCAGAGTTACCAAGCAGTAAATACAGCTAATGAGCATCACTTGCTTATGCTTTACAAAAGTTGTTATGACTGGTCACAGAATGTACTTCAGCCACCATCATCAATGTCCTATTACACCTCACAAGCCTCAACAACACTGCAAAACACCAACTATGCTTATAAGCAAAATTCTTCAGTAGGACCTTAAAGATCATAGGCATTCTTCTCAGTAGAGTACCTCTCTGCCCTAATGTCCTTCAATCCATACAGAAAAATGGGTTAGTAAAGGTGTCACCAGAACCTATGAAGCCAAAAATGGGAACATTAAAGAGACAGGAGAGGTAAGAGGAATAGTATGTCCTATGCCTATATTGGAAGATTCTCATAGGAGCAACCCAGTCAAATAATATGAGTGGATAAACTCCAGATCTTGTAACCCCTCTTCATCCACAGCTAAAAGGGCCAGTGAGACATAAATCTGGCCAAATTAGTGTAAACAGAACAAAAACAGTGTTTACAAGCAAATTACCTCATTAGAGTCTTAATGTGTAAAGACCACAGGTGCTATACAACCACCACTAAGACAGTCCATCATCACTAGGTCTCAGATTTCCCCATGAATAAACATCTGGTGCCACTGGAATCTGCAAAAATCAATCTGGGTTGAAAATATAGAAATTAAGCAGGTGAATTGCAAAGGTGAAGCAGAAAAAGTTTGTAAGACATGGTAGACAGGCACCTTTCATCATAGCCACAGATAGTTCCAACACCAAAGATAGCAAAAGAGCTGGTTGGGAATTCATCATTATGTGGAACAACAACATTCTGCATAAGGCAAGTTGAGCTTTCCTAATTCCCACAAGCAGCATAAGGATGGAGCTAGAAACCCATAAAAAAGTTATTCTCTGAATTGCTGAAAACAATGAATTGCAAATATAGTACCAGCAACATATTTGTGATGTACAGGCAGTTTTACATAGAATTCAGAGTTGTTGCCCTAGATAGATGGCAGAAAGCTGTACAGCTGCATGTTAAGATCATCACCTGGATGTAGGTGCCAGGTCAGGCAGGGATAGAGCTAAATGAGGAAGCTGACATTCTCACAAGTGAAGGTCCTTCACAAAATCCTGTGCAACTTTACTGGTAGAATATTAGTAAGGTAAAAGTAGCAGTCATCAACATTCAGAGGAATTGAGACTGGTGGAAAACAAAATACCATATGGTGTAGGTAGGGAAAGTAAAGGATGAGAAATCAATAGGACAGAACACAGCCAGAAGGTTACTAGTAACAACAGTAAAGGAACTCTCATCTGGCTCCTGCAAAAAAGCCACCCTCCACAATGGATCAACACTTGTCAGCACAACCCTGGAATTTTGACCTAGAGCTCAACACAATGCACAAAAATATAAAGGTAAATCTTTTTTTGCTAATAATAGAGACAATAAAAAATATGTGACAAATCTCTTAAAATACATGAAACCTATGATCATCTATCAAAGACCCAAGTATTTTGAAATGAATTACCTTTTTTTAAAATTGCTAAACTGTTTAATTCCAGTTGATAGTTTTTGAAGCAAATTTGTGGTTTATTTCTTTACTCATTACCTGAATAGCCATCAGAATAGTGGTTTTCTGGGCAAAAAGCACACATCGACTTGTTGGAATATTCCATGCCAGGATTACATGGTGGACAGTCTATTTTTGTGCCTGACACTGGAAGCTTGGCAGAACCCTGTAGTTCATCTCGACATATCTTGGGTTTGATCCACTCAAAATGTATTTCAGTTTGTTTATTGTCATCACAAGGAGTTTTCAGTTCATAATAATCATAATTTGTACAAGGAGGTCGATCCACACATTTAGCTGAGCCTTTGGCTGACAAAGATGTAAAAATTTTTCAATACAAATATGAAACTAAAAGTACAGAATTACAACCATTTTTGACAATAAGGAAAAAAAAGTTAAGATTGAGATTGTATATAATTAGTGAATAATACTTTATATTACAGTTCAGATTTTTTTTTTTAGATATGGGTCACACTTATGTTTACTAATCCCTGCTTGGGAACTTAAAGAACAAAACAGATTTCACAAACTTTACCACACGATATTCCTTGTAATAAGACCCTACATGATTTTATATAGATAAACAATTTTGCAGCTTATTAGCTGTAAAAAAAACAAGCTTTCCAACTTTTAGCTGTAGAATGTACTTACGAGCATACTGAATAACAGTGTTACATGATAAACATGCAGCAGCCCCACGTTCTGAGTAAGTGTTTTCTTTACATGGAGTACAGAGTTTTGAGCCCTGGCTGCTATAGGTTCCAGCCTCACAAGGGGTACACTCTGAGGTATAAGCTACTCCTAAAAATGAAAAGTGAAAAAAAATTAAATTGTTTATACTATGACCCACTAAGTATCTGCACAAAATCTATGTTAAATATGACACATCAAGATAGATTTTACAAATTACAAACTTTAGTTGCAACTTATCTTTCTATCTGTGTAAATGGATGTATTGTTAAAATCTTACATGAAGTAATAATAGTTTCATGGAGCCAGGCATTGTATCTGTTAATGGAAGGGTGTATGGACTGAATCAAAGGAGATTCCTTAAATTTCCGGTCAACAATACTTTATTAGCATGCTTCATCATGCACTATTTGTTTTATATTGTTGTAGTTTTATACTATTTTCAGTTACTATAATTTAAAATAAGTTTTAACCTGTGACATTCAAATACATTTATCTGAAGTTATTTGTCATCTTCATTGAAAATTTATATACATACATATTATGAAATAATCACTAAAAATTACTGATAAGAAATAACTTATACACAATAATATACAGAGTACAGGCAAGTTTATGAAAAATAGTTCATATATATAAACTCTTCAATGGATAAAGAAAAAAACAACAACCAGAATAACTATACAATGCTGAAATGAAAACAGAAAAAAAAAAGATAGAGAAAATAGTTCTGCTATTATAATTTTAAACTTAGGTTTGTACTTGTTATTTTTGACAAATACATTGCAAGTTTTTAATTTGGGTGTATTTTTCAAATAGAACAAATAAACTATGAAATAAATTTAGAAAACTGATATACTTAAGTAGTAATTTATCCGAACTTAACCATTTTAACATACTTTAAATTTTGTTGTCTGATATAGCTGAAGAAATATAAACACCGTGAAATAAAAAATTACATGGAGTAAAATGAAAAACTATAATTTTCAATTTATCACAATTAGTGACAAAAATTATACACATGCTTGGAATCTCAAAGTTCACTAAAATATGACATAGTAGTATCTTTAATGATGATTTTCACTAGTAAATAATTTCTAAGGAAATGTTCTTTGTTTGATTGCATACATATGAGAATTCCACTAAGGTTCTAGTCAAATGATAGATTTTAATGGCTTCTAATCACCTAAGCACTTAAAAATAGTTGTTCATAAAGATACTTGATCAATAATACATTAGTGTTTAAAAATTGTACTTGAATGTTATAACACCAAACTATCAAGAAATAAAATATTTTAATGCATCAACAATGCTTTATAATAGATATTTGATAATAATAATAATGAATAACCGCATTCAATGTACAAAGTAATATATTTAATGAAGCAATCATTCAGTTAAAATACATAGATATATTAGTATTCTTTTCCACTGGTATATTCTACAAAAACAGTTATGCAGAAATTATCTATTTTTAGTTAGTAAGTAAATAAACAATCACAACAAACAATGAAGAGTAATTAATTTCATACGCCTCATACTTACCTGTAATGGTGATGGATTTTATCCTCAAAGGCCTAGGTTTCCTACCATCTCTGTTCAACATCCCCATTCCAATAGTCTTCCAATAAAGAACATTCAGACCAGCTTTCAATTCCATCTATGTAATAGTAAAAAACATTAATAATAACTCTCTATTTTTATCCTATGGAATAGAAGCTATAAATATAGTCAGCTATATTTTTTCATATTGTAATTTAGATGTTAGATAGAGGGCACATGACTTTAAGACCAAGTAAGTTTGTGGGAGTAGGCATAGAAAGTTCTAAATTTGAGATTACGAAAATCTAGTAATTTCGGGGAATGCTGAGAAATGACAGTGGATTATAAATATGAGACTACATAGATAATACACATGAGATTTCCAGGTATTTTAAATTTAATGCATATTTTAATATATATTTTCCATCGCTATGTATTTCCAATGAGATATGGTCTACAAAGCTGAAATACTTGTGCTATTAGGTCATGAAGAAAAGATAATTGGCAAAGATATTTTAAAATAGTCTTAATAAAAAAAAACTTTTTAATTACAATTTTTCATTATTGCGCCTAAGTATACATATATTTACAGTTTGTAAATATATAAACATGTGTATTGAACAACATACTTTTGTGTTTATTTTGTTTGTAATATTATCTTTAGCAGAAGAAATAGGGATCAAACAAAAAGTTCACTTAAAACATCACACAAATTATCTAAGCTAATATATATGATGGATATACAAAAATTTTTAACAAGAAAAGCTGCATATGTGAGTCTGTCTGGTCAAAATTGATTTTAAAAACACACAAGTGATTGCCACTTATAAATATGGAAAAGCCTAATTTTTTAAAACCAAAGCTAAAAGTAGTGTTATAAGTTATATTTTTTTATGTTGTAATTTAAATATTAGTTAGAGGGTGCAATACTTTGAGATCAAGTAAGTTTGTGGGAGTAGGCCTAGAAAGTTCTAAATTTGAGATAATGAAAATCTAGTAAATTTGGGAAATAAAGAAGTGAGAGTGGATTATAAATACAAAAATCAGTGAGGTATAGTATGTGTTTTATTCACAGTTGGTGAGCAAGTAGTAAATAGTGAATGAGTACTGAGCCAGTTAGTTTAGTTCAGTGAAGTATTTGGGTTAGATCCTGTTGTTTAATAAACGTCTCACACCTGTAGAAGACTCAGGTAATTGAGACAAAAGCTTGTGAATTAAAAAAACTAAAAAAAATGTAGTGATAGTCCAAATAAATTACTTAATACAAAAATCAAGTTTATTTTTATGTTATTTCTATCTAGGTATTTTCATTTGAACATCATTTGTAAACTTAGGCCTACAAGTTACAACAAGTGTAAGAGCTTGTAAAAATGTTAAGGAAGAAATCCTCTAATTAGTTATCATTACATGGACTGGATTTTGAATTATTTTCACCAAATAATTTAAAAGAACCCACCCAACAAAATAGCAGTGTTACGACAGTACTATAAAATCAAAATCTCTCTTTATGATTTTGAGGATTTCAGGCTATATAAATAATAAAATATCTTAATAACAGTTAAGGACATTGTACAATATACATACAAGATACATTGCATGTACATGCTTACTGTCACAGTTTTCCACTGTCCTTCCCCAGATGTTGAGGGCCACTTGTACTTTTCCACTTCATCAATAGACTGACATTGTTCATTCTGAGCCTAAAAATTAAAATTATTCATGTGTATCTGTATGTACATTTATGAAATACATGTTAATTAAAACAGTTCCATGGTTAAACTGATAACACAGGCCTGTGAATTTAAACTTCATAAAAGCTGTTTTGGTTTTAATAACAGATTTTCCATAATACAGCTACATATATTTCAAAAATCAGGAATAAAAAAAAACTCTTACTTAGATCAAATTATTATTTCGTTTACCACAACGAACATTTTTTATTATTATGTTTATTAATAAAAATCCAAACCAACTGAAGAAAAGGTAAGAACATTCATGTGAAACAAACATGCATTCTTATTTATCCTGATTTTTTTTGTGAAATCTATATCTTGTATTCTCAAACTACATGTTGTGGTCTTTCTTTTATGTATTGCATTATGACGATTTGTGAAAAAAGCTATACACGATGGAGAAATATGGATATCATTTTCAGATTCAGTGTACAGGAATTACTGTGAAACATGTAAAAATTTCACGACAATGAAACCATTGCAGACCTGTGTAATATGGAGCCTAGTAAATTCATCTACAGATAGAAAAATCATTATGTTTAAATAATACATATGGTTTCAATCATTTTACAAACTGCTTACGGTACCTAAGCCTAAGCTTTAGTGTTAAATCAAGATAAAATATCCTAATCAGTTATCAATAGTACTCCAAAAATACTGTAACCACTAATGAACCTAACATTATCTGCTTCTATAAAACAGTTTGCAAACAAACATTGTTTGCAATGGTCATATAAAATTTGAATATAAAAATTCTTGAAGATAAAATTTAAGTGCTTTTCTTTCATATGATTAACTAACTGTAATGTCTCTTTTACAATCATTATTTTGAGATTTTTGAAATAAATTTAGCTGCTGTTTTTTAAAATTGATGATTAGTACTTATAGCTGCAATAAACTTACAGAACATTAAATATTAATCTTTAAAGGGGGGAAGACATTCATCTATAATTCATATTCGCATATCGCAACAGTTAGATGTTCCAACTGTATGATTATCATCGCTTTAATATTGTGTAATTATTATTCAAAACTCTGGAATAAAAAATTAGCTTTTGTAAATCCTGATGGTGAACAAAATAGTCCATGATATTGATTGATAATATTTATTTGATGCATATGTGTAATCAAAATGCACCATATACATGTAAAAAATAACTTATGTCCTTAACTTTGTCTTCAAAAATCTTCCTAAGTAATCACTTTCAAAGAACTTTACGAGGTTAAAGCTTTATTTATTAAAATCTGGATTAATTCTGTATCAATTAGCTATATGTTCATGGTATCCTGTTAGAAAGAGAAGGGTTTTATGTCCATGGTATTCCAAAAAGTCTCAATAAATTTGAATATATTTCACATAACTTATAACATTTAGATTCAAAATTCATGCTCAAGAATTACACTTGCATTTGAGTATCTTTTGGTCAAAATACTAAATAATCTTGTACATATCCAAAAGTGAATAAATACACCTTCAATAACAAACCCAGAGTGTATTTTCAGCTCTACATGTACAGTAAGTTACTCAATTTTCCCTTCTACTTTTTATCTAATCTTTTCATCACTATAATACCTCTGTTATTTACGTGTTTATTCTTTTTCACTACTTTTCTACTATACTATTAATAACTTTAAAGAATTCAATAACTTCCCTAAACATTATTAATTCACATGATCCAACTATAGCCTTAGTCTAGTTCCAATATATGTTTTTAATATTAAACCTAATCCAATAACATTCTTTGCTTGAAAAATTGTGCTCTCGTACCTCAAAGTTAAAAATAATGCTATCATCAACATATTCATATGAGTATGAGAGAATACCCGGTTTCACAAGTTTGACAGAATAAGTTAGAGATGTGACACATGGCCCTCCATGAGATGCAATGTAAGCACCCATAGGTACCCAGGCATATCTGAAAAAAAAAATTTTAAATTACAGACACTATAATATTTCATAAACAATATGTTAAACATGCATATAAAAACTACATCTAAGTTGAAACATATGAAAGATAAGAAAAAATTTCAAATGTTTTGCTTAATATTAATTTTTTGCTTGATTATAGATTATGATATAAAAACAAATTTTATTTTCAATTTTTGGAATATAGTAAAACCAACACATTCAAAAAATAAAATAACATAACTGCACAGTTCTGTATTTCTACACTGAATGTATAAAATGTTTTTCAAATTACATTGTAAATCAAAAATTATGTATTTCAACTAGATAATATAATAATGTATGTCATATCAAACAAGGCCAATTGGTCTTTTATACCTTATTAATTCATGTAAACACAAATATAAAAATATTGTAATAATATATACATAATCATAATAATTTTTGGAAGACAAAACAACTAGAATCTATTAACCCATTAATTGCGGATGACGGATATTTCCGTCATTGAAGTTCTATGGCTCAGCTGCGAATGACGGAAATATCCGTCAGTCACACACATATATAACTATAACTCTATTCGAATGTCAAAAATTACCATTTTATTGTAATTGATGGCAACTTAGTTTTATCTGTGAGTCAGAAAACTGCAACTAAGCTGCTCCTGCCACAGTTAATGGGTTAATGAATACATTCCTCCATAAATTATTGACAGGTTAACATAATCATTTATTAATTTCAGTCATGAAATATTGTTATTCATTCTAATTCACTCCCTAGTATTTGCACATGTCAAATAAATATGTATACTGATTTAGAAAAAGAATACAAATATTCTGAATAGAAGCAAATAAAATTTTCTTTGGTAGAGTTATTTACTTATTCTTCCTGTTCTATTAAATATGTAAATATGACATTTTCTAGATAAGTAAGAACAATATTTTCATTATTCTTTTACTTGCATTTAACTACAATTCATCTGTTACATTTTCATTTATTTGTTTCTGATTTGAAGCTATGAAAGGCTATCTCTGAATAGTTATCCCTAATTTTGAGCTGACAGACTAGACGTGAGGGAAGGTAGACAATCAACAGCACCCACTGCCAACCCTTGAGTTACTATCTTATCTAACAGAATAATGGGATTTGATTGATACTTTGAAACTGTACCCATGGCCCCAAAGTGCAGAGCATATTTTTGTGGCAACAGACCACAAACCATGAATCTTCGAATTCACTGTATAGTATGTTCACCACAAGTTCTTGCCTGGCTCCAATCTACTATTTATCGTTTTATTGTATTCATTTCTAATTGAAATTCATATATTTCATGATATATGATTTATTTTCTGAAAGAATCAAAATTTCATTAGTTTTAACTTTTCATTTAAATAAAATTGTTTATTACTTACTATAACTATAAATGCTATAATTATTATTGTAAGTTTATTCTGACATTATAATGAGTCCATATTCTGGCTGCAACACCTTTCTATATTATTCTGTTGAATGTTCAGTTGGTTTTTACTTCATCAGATTGTACATAATTTTATCAAGCCCAATATTATATAAAAAAAATTAAATATTAAACTACATCTCAGAGGAATTTTATTTTATTATACTGTGGGCTGCTTGTGATGTGAAATATATGTGTTACTAAAATATTTATCCAGAAAGAAATGTCTAAAAAGTATGTTGTCTCTTTCAAAACACCATTAAGTTTAGATCAATTCAGGAATTGCTGTAAAGAAACATATAGGCATCTAATGATTTCAAGACTATTCCTATGATTTTTAAAGTTTAATACATACTGAAGTATATCTGAAGGCCTTAAAAAATAACATAAGAATATCACTAGCATGTAAGCACACATTAAGAAAAATTATTGAGAAGAGACATACCCAACTGTTAATTCTTACAGGAACTAACGTCAAAAACCAGAAAGATAAAGCTAAGTCTCAAGACTGAAAAACAAAAATTCTAATCTAGGGGGTAGACAGATCACCTGCCTCTTTTAAGTGTTTGTGTGTGTGGGGGGGGGCAGTATATATATTTGCCCCTCCCCCATTTTAAAGGCCATATTTTTTAAACTGTCCCCCTTATTTTACATATGAGATCAGTGCCTATGCTGAAAACACTGTTGTGGTATTATTCCTTTTCATCCACATCTAAATATACCAGCAAGTCATGAAACCAGCCAAATTAGTGAGTAGCCAAGCTGAATGTTGATTTCAAGTGCATGTAATCTAAAATTTACTGCTAATGTGTTCAAATCCCTCATGATCGACAAAATAAATTAGCTGCACAACCCAATTAATTAGCAAGGATGGAATAAAATCTGTAAAGTGAGATTCATCGTAAGATACATATAACTTTTTTTGAGCCTCTCTCAAAGATTTCATTCAACATAGTAATAAGTAGAATTGACAGGACAAAGGAATTATGTCAAGTATCAATGGCATAAATATCATGAAGCAAACAATAGAATGTCTTCTGTGAAAAATTGTAGAGCAAGAAAAGAAACGTTCAAAGAAGGGGAAGAAAGACATGGTAAGAGTAAGATCTAAAGAAGACAGTGTCTAGGGAATTGGGATGAAGTAAGCAAAAGGCTTAAAAAAAGATCAATAAAAGAGTGGGTAGGAGAGAGAGAGAGAGATGGCTTCATTGGTATCTAAAGGTGGTAGCAGAGAGGGCAACTCTGTAGCCTACAATAGATGAAGCAAATAAACCATGATCATGAAATAAGAGCATTAAAAATGAGGCAACTAGTTTTGGATTTAAAGAAAGATATAAATCAGAATTTCTAAGGCACCAACTCCTGGATAGTCCAGCAGGATTGACAGACAGACAGAGATGAATGACAGCAAGAATGTGATAACATTTTATGCTACTCAAGAGGAGAATCTGGCTTTTATAATAAAGGACAACATGACAGCCAGCTAGCCATGAAGCTGTAGATGATGAATTTAAATATGGAAAATATGCAACTGAGGTTGGCAGAGAAGATATCTCCAATAAGTTAGTGAAACATGATTCCTCTGAGACAGACAAAGCAGCAAGGGAATCTGCAGTTGAGTCAGCCAGTGAGGAGCAATAAGAAGAATTTGACATTTAGATGAACTGATCTTGGCCAATACACACACAAAAAAAATGAAGAACACACACAGAAATAAACATTCTCCATGACTGGCTCAAAGCATTTACCACTAGAAAAGCCAGGTCTGAAACTAGAGACCAATAAAATAGAAGGAGATGGTTGTCTCCCTTAACAAATGCATCAATCATAGGACATCCAAACCATTGGCACAGCCACAAACAAAAGCTAAGGAAGAGTTTAACACTCTCACTATGAGCTCAGTCCAATCGGATGAGTTCGTGACCCCAAATTTACCTTTATAATTTCCATATTATAACTTCTAATATGTTTTGTGCATCTTCATGAAATTTTGCAAGCTTTCAGTAAGCATTAAGTCTTTTGTAGACAAAAAAAATCAGAATTTTAATAATGTACTTTCACTAAACATTTCTTGATAAATATATGGAGTCAAAGTGTTGACTGTTTCAAGTGCAAATTGATTTCCATGTTAAGATTAAAAATACTTTACTTGATCTAAAAATTGTCAAATTTAATTTGCATAATCTCTAAAATCTCCTAAATACATTTCAAGCACTTTTTTAGTAAAACTATATATTTTATTTGTTATTTTCTGTACTCTAACTTTATACAATCAACCTCGTAACCACCATAAAAAATACAAAATAAATCTAAATCACCCTTTTTCCTTTCTAAAATGACTTCAAATTTTAACATGAAACTACGTTTGTTTATCCTAAGTAGCCTGAAACTCATAACAGTATACATCCGTTTCAACTTAACTTTTCTTGTTTTATTACCCTTGGAACCATGTCTAACTAATAATCCCACCATAAAAGTTGTAAATCACTTGGTAAACATGTAGCTCACATTACCCTATTGAATTACATAAGACATGGGCTATTTGCGAGTGTACCTTATGAAACTTTTTACCATTACTATTATTTTTCTTCATTTTATCTAACCTAACCTTATCTAACTTAAAAAGTTTCTATTTTTACATCTTAGTTACTTTTATAATAATAAATAAACAATACACATGAAAAACGTGGGTTTTCTTTTTTGCTGTCTGTCAACAAAACTTAACCCTACTTTTTTATATTACTGCACTAAATAAGTTTATATTTAATTAAATAATGCCTCTAAGAACACAGAATAATAACACGTTAAAGCAGAAATATCCTATAACTATCATAATTTTCAGTTTTCTGGCTTTCTAACTATGCGATAAGAGCCATAAAACAATGTGTTTCCCATGGGAATAAAGTGTGAACTGGAAGTAAAACAGGCAATTCTCTCTACAAAAAATACTGTAATATAAAATGTTATTCGATAGATTAAAACTTTGGCTTTCCATTGGTTATAAATAATGTAGTATTGGCAATTTGTGAAAAAGAGGATGTGACAGATGAGTGTGGAAAGAGAGGTGTGATTTTCTAACTTATGGTCCTGCAACCAAGTAAGATTAACGGGTATAAAAATTATACTTTGCCTGAGTAATGTAATGTTTGCCATTATAACGCACACTGGGGAAACCAGAAGAACCCTACACACAAGAATAGGAGAAAATATTGACTCTCTTTATAAACAACAACATGAAAGAAGTGCAGTTGTACATCAGCTTTTAACTAATCATGGACAAGTAACGCCTCACTTGAAACCAACATCCTCCGTACAAATCCTCATCAAAGCAACCAAGTATGACCACAGATGAATAGGGATAAAGGATGGTGCCTATAATTTTAATTACTTAATTTTTTCATCCTATCTTTTTGTTATTTCAATCCGTAACTTGGATAGAACAGGTAAGAGTTAATTATTTCAACGATAGTTTTCTTTCAACAGTAAGCTTTACTATTTAATATGTCAAATGCACACTGTAGAAATGCATGCTACAGATTCGATTAGAATTTATTATTTAAACCATATGAAACTTTGCACTGTCAGTTACAGTTTGTGTTTTAGTGGAACGCTCCTGAAAAAGCTGTAAAGTGAAATGTTGAGTGTCAAATTAAAGAAAATCAACAATTTGGTGTTATAAGGGCATTTATTTCTAGTATTAAAATGTCTTCTATACACGAATATGTAGTACAGAAATTAAATAATCAAATTCCGTACTTCTCAGATAGGTGATAAATAGATCAGAGAAGAGGAAAGACCTAGAAAACAAAAGTCACAATTCTCATACTAGGTGTTACTGTAAATGCAACCCTTCAGCAAAACCTGTATGGGTTTTTGGGTTAACACAGATATCATTCCACAAGCTATATAAAAAAAGTTACAAATTTCCAAGAAATACATGTAGAGCAGTGGCAACAAACAAGCCTTAATTAGTCAAACTTAGAATACAAAATTAATTGGTTGTCATTTGTGTAGGTATAAGTGCATTATTCTTGCTAAGAGCTCTTCTATGTACAATGTTTCTTATGGCATTCTATAAGTATGATGTGATGACACTTACTCTGAACAGTTGATGTGAGAACCTTCCATATTTTGCTTAAATGAACGAAAATTACTTTCAAATGTCTCTACTGTTACATGAAAGCCTTGAGGGAGTTCATCCCATGCATCAAACTTGACACCTCCACCAAGTGAATAAGTTCCTGGGGGGCAGGGCAAGCAGTCTAGACCAGTTCGGTTGTAGTAAGTTCCTGCTTCACAGGATGTCCCTATAATTAATAATAGTAAAATTTACATTTTTTACTAAATGAAAATCACAGTAAAGTTAAATTTAGCTAAGACAGTCTGGTAAAAAACTGATCAAAATTACAAGGATCAGGGTATTGTGTTATATATAAATTTTAACATGTATATTCAGTGTACAATATTATTAAATTATGTTCTAACAATCTCTAACCGATAAAAATGTTATTAAAGAGAAATGTTATCTTTTTAACAATATTATCATTAAATAAGAGAGTGAATATTATGTAACATTATCAAATTGTTTTCTGTTCATAAATATTCTACAAACTGCAACTACTAGTTTTGTTATTGTTGAATAAAACCCAAGACGAAACTGTCAAAAACATCTTTTTTGTCAGAATAGAAAGTAGTCTAAACACTGAAATGTATTTTTTATTTATGTAATGCATTACATATGTAAAAAATCACCCTGAAATATTGCTAACCTTACTGATTACTGAACAAGAGAAAAACTACTGAACTGATTGAAACTAACCGTATGTCACTATTGTTTAATTATCCATTACAAAGTGGATAATAATCAGTTTTTGCTTTAATTCATAGCTTCTTTCACACTCACAGAATATTTAGCTGCTAAATGGTAATAAACAAAAAAAAAATCAAGTGTACAGTTAGCAAGTGTTTAAATAAAAAACTGAATGAGTAATGATAATATATTGTGTTAGTATTATTTATGTATTCAATGTATGTTTATAATGATTGTTGCTCCTACTTTCTAATACAAACTTATTAACTTTGTAAAAAGCACACTGATAACCACAGTATAAGCATCATATAGGAACCACATTTGATATCTTTGAATATAAATACTACTTGCTAAATGTTATAATTTTAATAAAATACAACCAAACTAACTATTTAAGAGATACAGTAGTAAAATATATTAATTTATCCTAACTCACAAAAATTATACAAGTAATTGTGTATGAATGAGTAAAACATTATTTTCCATAAAAGAAATTAGAATGTCCATTCTTACCACAGTTTTACTGTACTTTGTAAACAATGAGATAAAACTGAGTATGTTCTGTATTTGTTGTCACAGTTTCGCTGTAAGTTATACATTTTAGGAGCATAATGTATGAGCTATATTTTACTTCTTCAATGAACTATAATAAACCTTTTTCTTCTTTAAAGTGACCACACTTCCTGATATATATTTCAATATACTTTGTTTTATTCTGCAAACTACACGGTACTAGATTTAAAGTACTATCTACAGCATATGAAACAAGCTATGTTGATGTTCCTTCATATTCTTAACATAGGTATATGTAGAAAAAAAATCTTACAGGGGAATAATATACCATCTTTGTATGTTTACTTATTTTATAACCAACTTTTTGGTTGTATGTTACAATCATCATACCAAACTGAGTTATAAGAAGCTGCAACATGCAGCTTAAATCTTGATTAAATGTTAAAAATAACTATATTACTAATAAGCATTAAAGCCTATAGAAACAAACATTAAACCACAGTTAAATGCTTGTACCTGATATAGCAATGAAACATGTACCATTTAACAGATATAGCACTGTACATGTACCTGCAGTGTAGGTGCATGTAACAGATATAGCAATGTACATGCCCCTGTAGTGTAGGTGCATGTAAATATAGTAATGTACATGCCCCTGTAGTGTAGGTGCATGTAGGAGATAAAGCAACATACATATACCTGCAGTGAAGGTACATGTATCAGACATTCAATCTTAAGACCATTAAGATTTGAAGTGTGAGCTCTAGATTCATATTATAAGAATTAACATACAAAACTGACAGCTGGACCACTTTTTATTTTACTTCTTATGTTCAACATTGTATTTGTTTGCACAGCACATGTTTTAAGGGTTGTTAAATAATGCTTGATTGCTTAGGTTTTTCAGGAATCTCTGAGTTTTTCCTTCAAGTTGTAAAGTATGAGACAATGGTTCTTTGTTTATGAGTTTGAACTTAGTGTTATCATTAAGAATGTCAAGCACTTTTTTTAACGTAGTTAGCTTTGTTGAGAATAACAACTCTGTTTCCTTTGTCTGGTCAGGTGATGGGGATATTTTTGTTGCAGGAGAGTCACCCCATACTTTATAACTTATAAGAATTACTCAGAGATTCCTGAGAAACCTAAGCAATAGAAATATTATTTTGGATAATGTTTGATCTTTGAAAACAATAAATACTCACTGCAGTCATCCACCCTAGTGGGTGGGTTGGGTGCTCCACTCACACATCTGTTAGGTATAGGCACTGACACTCTCCATCGACCCCCGTAACTGTCACATTCTGTGAACTCAAAGTGGTAATCTTTCTGTAAAAGGATTCAGAAGTTAAAGGTCAATTTATAAATGTTTTACTTAGCACAAAACATTCAACACATATTGAAATATCATATTATTGTGTTAATACTTCTTTAGTATTAATTTAACTCAGCATGATTATAAAACATATTTACATTCTCTCATCATGACATAATCTAGGTTTTAAAATTATGATAATATGAATGTTTCTGAAGAACTTTATTAGGAACTCTATTTATATGTTCTTCAAAGGCTATAAGAAATAACTAATAAACTAACTCTTTACCAATCTAAAAACATAAAAAAAAGTTATAATTTTCATATGCTGAAAATATATTTATGATAGGTATTTACCTCCTCCCACATAAATAGCTTTTCTCTTTCAGTGCTGCCCTCTATATGCAAAAAAAGGTTTGCATGCCACAAGCCTTGAGCTCTTGCGTACCTTACAACCAACTGGTTCAACAGCATCTTGAATGTAAATCGTCATGTGACAACCCTCCACCAGTAAGAGTGCTATACACTCTCCTAATGCATGTGACTCCCTCTATTCAATTCTATTGAACTATCACTTCATGTTCTGGCAGAAAATAGAAGCACCAGTTTTTAGTGGAAAGAAAGGGTGGGAAGTGTGAGAGAGGTAAGTACCTGTCAGAAATATATTTTCAGTATAGGTTTGTTTTGAATTTAGAGCAAAGCTACATAAAGGTTATCTGCACTAGCCGTCCCTAATTTAGCAGTGTAAGGCTAGAGGGAAAGCAGCTAGTTATCACCACCCACCGCCAACTCTTGGGCTACTCTTTTACCGATGAATAGTGGCATTGATCATCACATTATAATGCCCCCACAGCTGAAAGGGTGAGCATATTTGGTGTGATGGGGATTTGAACCCGTGACCCACAGATTGCGAGTCAAGCACCCTGGCCACCTGCCAATGCTGGGCCTTCAGTATAGGAAAATTATAACTTCTGATAATACAATACATTACCTCCACTCACATAAATAGCTAGAATCCCACATTGAATAGGTAGATGGAGAAAGAAGCCTTCCTCGAAAGTGTCTGAAGAACAACCTAAAAGAGTAGATCTTCACAGTAGAGGATAATACGTGAGAGACCGCACCACATCTGTACCAGGTATACTCTTCACCTAGTGTGAAATTAGGTGTTGCAGACATAGGTGAAAAAAAAGAGGAGCACATCCAAATGTGAGAGAACAATGGCAGGATAGGGATCTAAACCACCATATAACAAATCTCAATCCCTTAGAATACAGGAATGTGAAAGAAAATAAAAGGATGTGCCTCTAGGTGTAGAGTGGCTAGGTCATGACGGACCGTACACGGCAAGTCAACTGCATCCAAAACCCAGCTGCCAGGAACTGACAGTCATGAAGGGGTAGGATGAGGATCATACCACTAGCAAGTTAACCACAATCCAAAAGACAGCCATCTAATGGGGGAAGGAAAAAGGATCATACCATCTTCACTTCAAGTTCAGCAGAATGGAGAGAATCACAAACCCATCATTATGGGAACCAGACATCTGGAAGATCAACATAAGAAAGATGTCTCAGTAATTGTAATTAAATCACTCAAGACCATCTGACAGGAACTGCCCCTGGCATAATAACATACTCGGTATATGAAAAAAATCAAGGGATAGCGTAAGAGGAAGAACCTTATTAATCAATATGTCCAACCACTGTGACCCACAATACGAGTGGAGGGAACAAGAGTATAATTGATTGACCCACATAGACACCTATAAGACATGTGTGAGGATTTATGTTGATTCACTTCTGAATCCAAAACCCAGCCACTGGGAACTGTGGGGGTAGGATGAGGGATCCCAATCGAAGGGATAAACTGTATTTTAATGGCTCTCTCCAAAAACACAACATCCCCTTAGATAAATCCATACAGAAATGGAGCATCAGATTGGAGGACATCTCATCATCTACACCAGCAGAATACCACCTTCTTACTCTCAACTGAATAGTTTTAACATTATATGTATTGTATATCAATATTACATTAAGGATGATGCTTCCATGGTCCACCACCTCAGTGGTTTGGAACTGGACAGCGGTAAGGACTTCCATAATCCAATGAAAGAAGAAAGGGGGAAAGAATGTGGTGGAGAGTCCGGAGGAATGTCAACATTAGAGACAGTGCAACGGGTGACCATGAAAACCCTATTCTGAAAAGCTGACTATACTTGATTTATTCAATTGAAAACATGGCAGGAATGGGCAGCTATCCCCTTCTACTTAATCTATGAAGTCCAAAGGTGAGTACTTTCTGGAAGGGGCATATTAAAGGAGCAAATATATCATGAGGGAAAAATCTACAAGCAATCTTGTGGAACACTCCATCTCAACAGGGAACATTTTATGGCCATGAAATTTAAAATATGTAGTCAACATGACTTGACAGCATGGATTTGACCATGGGTCTAGGGGGTGAAAACCCCTGACCCAAAGAGCAAAAGCAGAAAGTGTTCCACTTATGTTGATAAATATCCCTAGAGGAAGATCAAATGGAACAAGGTAAAAAAGAAGTGATCCACCAGCACAAACTGGACCCCCTTGCCAGGGACCAGATAAAAACCAGGCATGAAGATGGATGATATAAAGGGCTGGATGAAATGCTGGTGACCAAGGTTGACATAGATGGGATAGAGGAAGAGAAAGAGGTAATGAAAGGGCAGATTGGAACTGGAGCAGACATGGAAACCATGGCTGTGCTGGCCAGTAAGGAGCAACCAGAAAGACTTAACACAAAATGGCATGGAGGACCAAAATCACCCTGTGAAGAAGAAGGATAAACATACAGGTATTTATTGGACCAATCTTGACTGAATACATCGACAACCTGAGCAAAAGGATGAAGAACTGGAGACCAAAACAGAGCTAGCTTGATATTGAGGGACGTGGCAAACGCATCCAGGTGAGAAGTACCCCACTTAAAGCACAGCCACAATTCCATTGGATAACTTTTGTTGGGACAGGAAAGATGATCCAAAACAATATTGAATGTACCCGGAACATGACACGTAAGGATACAAATAACAAGCGTGTGGGCCCAAAAAAAGAGATCCAAGGTTTGACCAAAAAGGGAAAGAGAATGGGTGCCACCACTGTAGAAGTGTCAGAACAGATCATGACCAGATGATACCTGGCAAAATGAAGAAAATGATCCAAAGTACGACATACAGTCAAAAGCTCCAGGATGTTGATATGGTAAGATCTTTCAGCCAGAGACCACCGACCTGAAGCTTCCTGATGATCAACCAACACCCCCAGCCTTGAAGGGAAATGTCTGTGAAGATATGCAAAAACTGGATGAGGGGAGGAAATGGAACCCAATTCTCAGGAGTATTAACAAAACATACCGCTGTAAAAAACGGGCCATACGTAAGTCCCTGAGAAAAATAAGCAGTTCACGAACCTGGGACAAAGCCATGTCCCTTCCCACAAGATCCCAACATCTGAGAAACCATGTGTGCAAGGACAGAGCCAAAAAAGACAAATGTGCCAATGTGGAGGTAATCAGGGAGAGGCTATCCCTTGAAAAACCCTCAGAACCTCTGTGGATCACCACAGAAAAGAGATGGATGGTAGACAAGAACCATAGGAGAGTCAATAGGGTAAGATGAAGGCAGGAATCTAGGGTGTGGGATAAACAAACAGGATAATCAAGGTCCATCCCCCCCACATGAGCAAGATCGATTCTAACTGTTTAGAATCGAGAAATGGACAATCGGCCTGATAGAGAGCAAGGCATGCTGGCACTCCCAATCATCTGAGAAACAAAACACTCAGCATGAAACCTAATATCCATGGAAGGGGAAATGAAATACTGAGAGGAGGAGATATTATGTAACAAAGAAGGGAAGGGAATCATATGAAATTGGTGAAATTGATAAAAACAGAACATACCTAAAAAATCATGTCTAAAAAAGCCATATTAGGCCTAGCTGATTCTGCAATAGGGGCATAGGAAGACACGGCAAAATCAGGTTGAGGGAAAAGGCTGTCAAAATCCTGTTGACCTGAACAGGTTCGACATGTTCAGGAGGAATAGGGACAAGATCAGGAGAAGCAGGTTGACTCATATAATGATCAGTCTCACAGTAGATGATAACTGATAAGTCCATAGACAAGTCACCCCCACCTGTAGCCCGTGTGAGTGTGCTAGTAGAAGGTACTACCTCTGAAGTGGTAATCTGAACTTCAGAACTGATTGTGTAACAATGAAGAATAAAATTCAATCACTTGATGAGAAAAAAAAATTAAAACTGGGAAAATAAAGTATCTGAAAAGTCATTGACTTTTGTAAAACACTAAGTTGAACAAAAAAAAAACATAACTGAAGAGCACTACAAAAAACATCTTGACATAAGTACTGCAAAACGAGAAGTGATAGTTCACTAGAATTGAATAGAGAGAATCACATGTGTCAGGAGAGGGTGTTGCATTCTTATTGGTGATGGGTTGTTGCATGATGATTTACATGTGAGACACAGTTGAACCAGTCGGCTGTAAGGTACGTGGGAGCTAAAGGCTTGTGACATGCCAACAAAATTTTTGCATGTAGAGGACAGTACTGAAAGAGAATAGCTATTTATGTGAGAGGAGGTAATGTACCGTATTGGAAATACTTTGACACTTTTCCATAATACAAAAACGGAGTGAATGCATACAAGTGCCAGAATGAGTGTGAAGTTAAAATATAACTAAAATTAGTTCTCAGTGAAAAACATATACAGACATTATAAAAATCTAAAATGCATAGAATAAACAGGAAAATTCCCAGTTGGAAAATTCAGGAAATAGGAAAGAAAGTGAAGTCTTTTTACCTCTAGCTTTTCTACATTCATTTGTTTACACTATATATTTATTAACAGGCTTGACATAATTCAAAGGCAATACTTTTATGTCACTCATTTGTATTTACATCTTGGGCATATTCCATTCATTATGTGATTAAACACCTGAAGAATTAACCA